CGGTTCTGGAACCACACCTGCCCAAAGAGAGCGGAGTGATGAAACAGGGGGAAGAAAACCAGAGAGCAAAGTGGCGCTTGGGACGACTTACTTAGTTTCACTCACACACACACACACACACACACACACACACACACACACACACAACCCCATGAATGGACCACTGACACCACAACAGTTCGAGAAGTCTGCTAGTATCTCTTCTGAAATGACACCCTAAGGGACAGGTACAAAGGTCCCCAAACGGAAGCTTTTCTTTTGATGCACTCTTAAAAGCGCTCTGACTACTCCTAGCCTGCGCAAGTCTAACTGGCTAAAGGAGGTACCTTCCACGTTGGTGACCGCAGCTCATCCACTGGCTACCCGTAGGGGAGCCTTCCGTGGTGAGCACCGACCTTGCCCTGGGCTAGCTGACGAGCTCCAGAGCGCACCTTAGGGTCCCGTCACGAATTTATTTCAAGTCCAAGTTGCTAGGAAATTACACCGTGTACCACCAGTGCTAAGTTTTTAAAGGCGCCTGAGTTAGGAGACACTTAGAAACGGAACGATGGCAACTAGGCAGACAGAAGTACTAGCAAAGTCTGAGACCTTCCTCTCACCGGGCACTTCCTTTCTCCCATTCAAACTCCCAGCCCCCTGTTCTGGTAGGAAACACTTCGTGGCTGTCAACAAATTGCCCAGAGTGTGAGTTCTAGGACCACCTAGAGCGCACAAGACACTCCAAATTCCATTTCTCTGACCGGTCCTGTTGGAACTCTAAGCAGCATCCACCCCTCACCCCACTGCTGCTGCGGCACTCGGTCTCCAGTACCTGGACTCTTGCCTCGGTGAGGTCTATCTTCAGCGCTAGCTCCTCCCGGGTGTAGATGTCAGGGTAGTGCGTCTCGGCAAAGACCCTCTCCAGCTCTTTGAGCTGTGCGCTTGTGAAAGTGGTGCGGATGCGCCGCTGCTTGCGTTTCTCATTGAGACCACCGTGGTCGGTGAAGAGTTTGTATGGAACTAAAGGATGACAGAGGAGGATAGAGTAAGCAAAACAGTCAGAAGTTTGAGGGCCTCCGAGCCAGGATGTGGGGACCCAAGGTCAGGTAGCCCGGGAGCCGCTACGGACACCAGCGGCGACCTGCCAAGAAAACCCGACAAATTAGTAATATACAGAAGCAGGGGCTCGAGTGAGACTCTGTGTGGGTTCTTGTGGCCCAAGTGCCTTTGGGTGGGTTGAAACAGCAAATTGGAGACCACTTGAGCCCCCGAGCTTGAAATAGTGCGTTCAGCAAGAAAACAGTCCAAAAACATCAGCTGGAATATCAGAAAGACCGGGACGAAGTTACCACTCACGCCCACTGTTGCAACTTTTCAATTCTCTGAAGTTGACATCGCCTGAAAGTTGGGGGATAGTGCTGTTTAAAAAAAAAAAACAATAAATTCAAGAAATGATCACAAAAATGACCGGCCAAAGAGGTGTGAGCCTCTGTCGGTTCTTAAAAAAAGAGACACCGCCAGTAATGAGCTTTACTCTTTGTTATTTAATTATTTTCTAAGCTTTACGTCTCATCGCAAAGTAAATAAATTATGCCTATCATTTTGGCAGCTTAAGATAATTTTGTTGGCGGTTCGGGTGTGACTAGGATAGTGTAACCCTGTAAGTGAATTACCCCTCCCTGCAATCGCTTCTAACGTGATAAATTCTTTCATTTGTGTAAGCAAATTTCGTTTGGTAAATACTAAACACATTTCCATTTTCAAATGCAATCAAGGCTTCCTATATACGAGCGGAAAGGCGGCTTCTTCCGCCAAGAGAGCTAGCGGTCCTTACCTGCGGCGTACGGACTGCTCTGGTGGTCTCTGAGGGTGCCGAGGCTGCAGGATCCCGGCGTGAGGGACGGGCAGCCGGACGTGGCCCCAAAAGTGGTCCTTATCGGGTTATACTGGAAGCCACTGGCCTGGCTGCAGGAACTGAAGTCTGCGTAAGCTGAAGCCAGGCTCGAGGTGTCCATCCCGGCCATACAGGACTCGTAGGCAGAGGAATTGAGGTAAGAATATTCCATTTTATACATTGAAAAGGTTCTGGATGGCTCAGCCAAGTGGAAAAATGAAATGAAAGATAGATATGGAGAAGGTGGCTGGAGTGGGGAGATGTGCACAGCTCAACGCCTGCCTCCAAACTGGCCTCCTTACTACCAGCAGAGCCTAGTTTTATGAAAAAGCCTCCTATGAGATGCCTTGTCTGAGGTCTCTAGAGCATATAGTCCTCATAATAAACTTGGCTCTTTCCACTTGGACAATAGCAAAGCGGTTGGTCTTATTGCTGGCGCTTTTTACATGACAATAACTCATCCGTCTATTGGGCTGGCACTGGGGAACTGAGCTGTCCAACCTCCCTATCATTGATTCCTGCATCTCTAATTAGAATTTAATACCACACCATTACGCACCGAGCCCCTGATCCTCCCTTCTAACCAGCTCCTGCCCTTTAATTCAATCACGCTACTTGGAAATAATGAAAGTTGGGTGACGATTTTCCCTGATCCAATTTCCAAGAGCTTTTAAGCCTTTTTAACTGATCATATACCTTAGGCATAAATTGAGATAGTGTGTTTTCCCCCTTCTTCGTCCTCTCTTTTTTTTTTTTTTTTTTCTTTCTTGGTTAGGGAGAAGAAACCTTGATGTCATAGAAAACCTGTTTTGTAAGAGTGTTACACGCTCAATTTAACAACAAGCCTACCCCCCGAAGTGCATGAAATGTTATAAAGGACTGGGACATTGGCAAGACTCAGGCGCCCTGTAACGTAGCGTAAGTGGGCCAAGGGGGTTTTATGTGAACGATAAGGATAAGCGGATTTCTTTAAAATACACCTGGTCGAAGGGGATGAAAAGAGAAATAGTATCTTATCAATTGTGTTTCGCCTAATGTGCTTTCCAGAGACGTGGGTAGACAGCCCCTTTACAAAAGTAAAACAAACAACCGAGTAAAGCTCTCAAAGGTTCCCTAACCAAGGATTCTCTGCGCTCAGCGCTGGCTGTGTCTGTCTGCGTTAGTGTAGATTCGCAGCGGTGTGTGTGAAGCTTCCCAGCGGTGGTTGTTCGTTTTAATTACTCGGTAGCTACCTTGCCCAGCTTACAATTCACCTAAACGGGGGTTTCTTTTCCAGCCTTCTACTCTCGCCCTCTCTCTTGCCTCTCGCTTTTTCAGGAGCTCACAATCCTCTTCAGATTTCCCAAAGAGGATCCCTGTTTGCCCTTCAGGTTTTCTGACTTCACTGAGAAACTTCCTTGCTATTTAAACGAACAAGGCAAAGGCTTGAGGCAGCGCACTTTCCTAGTTCGATTCCTCGGGCTCTTGGGTTCTGGCAAGGAGGCGCAGACAAAGAAGGCAGCCGTGATTTGTGAACCTCGGTGGCCCCATGATTTAAGCGGAGGGTAATTTTCATTTGGTTCGTTAGACTCTAGTAGAATAAAGGGAAATATTTCATTAAATCCTTCCTCTCGGTGGACAAGAGGGGGGAATACTTAGTTGAATCGCCGTGTGGTGTAAACAAACCCTGGATATTTTATATGAATTAAATGTGTAGATAATTAGTTTTATTGCATTCATTACCCCCTTTATGTGCTCTGTAACAAGTCAGTAATTAAAGTAACAAACTCATAAAGTCTTTATAGGGGCATTTAGGCGTTCAGTGTTTGCCAAACTAAGTGGTTTAATTCGATGCTAGTGCCGGGGAGTGGATGGGCGCCCGCTCTCCACTGCTACCCTGCTTTATTACGCACTAAACCGCTGCAGACTCTGTAATGGATTAAACCCGGACAGCAGCCCCCAGCCCAGGTGTTTGCTCATCCTCTGGACCTAAGAGTGCTGAACTGGCAAGTTCAGGCAAGGGAACCCACCGAGGAAGCTGGTGATAGTTTTATGGGGAGGGCTGATAGTTTTATTGCAGTTGTACGCTGTACAATGCGTATTTGATAAAGAAGGACCCTTGGTGACCAATGTGCACCTTTTTTGTGCAGCGAGGGAAATGAAAATAAATGCGTCCAAGGTTTGACTGCGGCGGGAAACAAATTGCAACACTCTAAATGGTTTTTCTTTATGGTCACCAGACAAGAGGAGAAAGGGGGATGCAAACATCTGTCTTCAGTCCCTGAACCTAAAGGCCTGCAAAGACGGATGCGAATCCAAGGGTTATTACAGCGCGGATTTGTCTTTATTTATCGCTCCCTCATGAATATGAATCTGCATCTGGACCGGGAGGTGCCTGTACCCCACGGACTCCACATGGAATTTCCCTCACTGGTATTCTCCCACTGCCTTCCACTTCAGGGAGGTGGGGGGTAAGTTACCAAGCACAAGGCTGCGATTGTCCAAGTTTCTCTGTTCCCTGGGACTTGGAGGTGAGAGGAGAAAAAGGAGAAGAGTGTGTCCTGGTTTTTCTGAAAAGATGTTATAACTCAGACCAGCGTTCTGAGATGACAAGTGCCACGTTAGGCCAGATTAACACGGGCCAGCCAGCAATTCCTGGCACAGGTGAATTTTAAGCTTTTTTTTTTTTTTTTTCTGCAAGAGAGACATTTAGGGAGTCTGGGAGGATATGTGTTTAGTCTCTAAGGCCCAAGTTAGGCAAAGTCCAAATTCACAGCCTGCATGAGGTTCCACTGGAAGCTACCGTGGCTCCTGGCAGCTGCTTTTCAATGGAGCCCAGAGCCCTACACCAGCCCTGAATGCCACGCATTTTCACGCTGCGTTCCAACAGCCTTCACATGACTCATTACAACAGACTTCACAGACACGGGGCTGTTTTTTGAAAAGGACTTTGGACAGAGGTCCTGGCTATGCAGTTCAGGAACTTGCAGGCCGGACAGGAGAAAGGGAGGACCAGGAATCCCGGTAAGGGAAATGCCCTCGGAGGAGGGACAAGCCCAGCCGAAGCCATCGCAGGGCGCCAGCTCAGGGCTGGTCCCTCCCTCTAGTCTGGCTCCAAGCCGCCTCCACTTGGTCGCGCCAGCCGCCTTCAGGGTGCCAGCCCTATTCTGTGGACCATCCTCGGCCTCTCCCCAGACGCCCCCTGGTGCCCATCCTCTCGTGGTGTGACCTGTGCGCTCTGCGCCTCCTCGAAGACCTCTCAGAGCTAGAACCGCACGGTTGGATGAGCAAATGCTCTTGACTTCATTTTCCCTTTTGTAGGACTTGTAGGTTTATTTTGTTCAGTGTCACCGTCCCTCCCACCCGTCCCTTCCCCAACCCTGGCCCCTCTTTTGTGGCTCGGGGTCCTGATTCTGATCAGCGATGAAAGGCTTGTAGGGTTGGGCCAGGCCAGAGCTCCAGCCCCAGCTCCCTGCTTTGTCCCCGTTGTGCTTTCTACACGCGAGCTCTCCCCTAAAAGTTGTACCAAATGGTTAATTTAATTATTCCAACTATAGACCAACTGCTTCAGCAGCCGCCACCACGCGTCTGGGAGGAAAAAAGAAGCCATCTATAAGAAATAATCTAATAAAAGTGAAGTGTAGAAAAACCCCTCCTGATTTTCAACCGGCACAAATAGAATGAAAGGTTCAGCATCCTTTTTCCAAACAGACCTTTTGTCCAGATCACAACTTCAGCCAACCAGCAGTGTGTACAGTTCCTGCTATTTATTTTAATAGAAGCGGGTGGGAAGCGAGATGGATTGATAGGTAAATGGCCACATGGATAGATGGATGGTTTGATCCATCTTCCTCTGTCTCTCTTTTCTTAGTATGTGTACACGGTTGACTTTTTTCCCCCCTGCCAATTTCTAAATCAATAATAGAAAGGCAATCCTATGTGGCAAAAACAAAAAAAACAAAAAACAAAAAACCCATGTTATTTAAAGGACAAGAGAAGGGAACTACCCTCACATATACCATGGGGAAAAATGTTTACATATTACCAAATGAGGGGACTACCCTCACATATACCATGGGGAAAAATGTTTACATATTACCAAATGAAAAAGGTTGAACGTTTAAAAGAAACTTTCCTTCCCTTTTCTTTACTATTCATAGAAGCGTTTCTTTTTTCTTTTTTCTTTTTTTCGCTTGAAAGTCAGAAAGAATGTTAGAAGACAAGGAGACAAAACCAGCAAACAAAATGCCATTGTATTGTAGTAGCCATTCATGGGAAAATGCTTGTCAGCCCCCTCATGCCTCACTCCTGGGAGGCTGTTTTACCCGAGGCAAGCCACAATAACACAGGGACGAATGAAATATTAAATACCGGTGAGAGTTTCAGAGGAATTTTCTGTTTGCTTTATTTAATGCTACCTCCGAATTGCCCCACCACAGCCAGCCCCCTGCCTGGTGGATATGCAACTGAGAGCCAGTGTTCTCTCAACCAGAGAATTAGAGGGTGCAATTTGTCCTTGGCTTTCCTTGCACAAAGAACGATGTGGGCTGCAACTTTTCCTCCTTACCTACACTAAGAAAATAATCCTCACAGAATTTATCAGGACACCAACTCCCAGAACATAAAGCAAAGCAGTCACAACAGTCTTAGACCTGCCGGCCAGCTGTACTCATCCAGCATTTGACAATCTTTACTGTCGACAACATCTGCACAGCAACCCAAACTCACAGTTCCCATAAGAAACCTTTTCAGGTTTCGTAACTAACCTCCCCAGGCCACGATTCTAATAATTATTAACTGCTTGACAATATATGCGAATAGAGCAGCACAGAGCTTGGAATTTGCAAAGAATCCAAGGACGGTTAGCCACGGGGTGGTGGTGGTGGTGATGATGATGATGATGACAACATTGCAAGGATTTCTTGGAGTCTTTTAGGACTGTGGGGGTGAACACTGAGTTTTGCATTTAGATGGGGGCACAGATGCATATATCTTTCCCACTGTATATTTATAACATGTGTACCAGATAGTGCCCAATCAACCAGCAGACTCTAGGTTATTGGTGGGAAGAGGTGAGCAATCAAGCAGGAACATTCCATTTTTTAGGGGTTTACTAGAAGACATATAGATATAGATGATAAGTTAATTCTGTTTCCTCTTACATTGTGCCCAGTATTTACTTGCGATTAATATGGTGCTTTA